TTTGGTCTTCCAAGATGAGGTTAGAACTGGTGAGCAATAGAATTATTGTAGCCAAAATCGTTAATATACAATTGAATGTTAACATTCAAACTTGATTACAATCTCAAGCATAACGTCGACCGTGTACTTGAGAAACTACCTTTATTTTCTGAGCATTTTCTATTTGTTTGGGTAAGATGAATGTCATTACAGTTTGCTGACTTTTCTTTGTCTACAATTCCTACATATTTATGTTCGACTGTTTGTGAACAGGATCAAGCAAAATGCAAAACATATGATAATGTTACCTACTGTAAAGATCTCAATGATGTTTGGAACGCGTGTCCTAATTTTAACGAGCTAAATACACTTTTGGTCGATAATTCAGCGGAAAAAATGATTTATAATCCGGTAAGTTGCATTTATGCAATATGTTTTTCCAGTTAAACAGGTTTTCATACATTGATTATTTTAACAATTTATGTGTTTATATAGAAATACAATTACATATGTCCATATACCTTTGATGTTGATTCCCATTCGAACGACAGTGCTCTAGGTATGATACAAATTTATTCATGCTTATGCGAATTTAGTTTATGGTTAGTAAAATTGCACCTCATTAGTTTGATAATTGAAATTATTTATATATGTCTTCAGAAAAAGGCGGAAACATACGAGAGTATTTGGAAAATTTGTTGAAGGCGCCTAATGTTCCGGACTTAGTTAGAAATAACCTTTTTTCATCAGTTTAATTTCATTGCCGGTACATTATTTGAACATTGTTATGTATGTATCTTTTGGTTTGATTATATTGTGTGTATATTTTCATTAATTATTTCATATTTGCTTCTCTATATACATATACATTTGAGGATTGTTGAAATATCAATACTAGTTATTAATGTATTTTACATCTGCGTGCAAATGTATCGAAACACATTATTAAAGAAATATTTTCTATGATCTCCACAACAAAGTTTTCATACTTAGAAATATTGGCATATTTATAATCGTTTTCTATAATGTATTCAAACTTAAAGTTTCCTATAAAGTGTCGATCCATATATAAAAAGTAACAACCCAAAAAATATTGAAACCCATAATTATAATGTAATGGGTAATTTTTCAATATAACCGGTATAAATATACCGATTTTATGAAAAATATGTCTACAACATTTATCGACACTTATTAGTATTGTGTCGATATTTTTTGTCCAGAATGGATGCCAAAAAGGGTGAACCTACAAAGTGTCGATACATTTTCATAGAGTGTCGATCCAAAAGGGTTGCAAGCATAAAGTGTCGATACATTTATTAAAAGTGTCGATCCCAAAAACATCGAAACCCATAATTATAATGTAATAGGTAATTTTGTAATATAATCGGTATACATATACTGATTTTATGAGAGAATATGTCTATAATATGTATCGACACTTATTAATATTGTGTCGATAATTTTTGTCCATAATGGATGCCAAAAAGGGTGAACGCATAAAGTGTCGATCCCAAAAACATCGAAACCCATAATTATAATGTAATAGGTAAATTTACAATGTAAACGGTATAAATATACCGGTTTTATGAGAGAATAGGTATACAACGTGTATCGACACTTTGTTGAAAAACCCCAGGTTTTATTGGCTATGCTGTCAACATGATTAACCTGGATAATCCCAGTTACAAAACTGATTCCGGCCATGATTGCGGGAGACTATATTCTACATATTGTTTGGCATTTATGTAATGATGCGGATAAAATATTAAACGGTCTCGTAATCCACAATAAAAATAGACTAAGAGAGTAGATTTTGTAAATATAGAGTTAATTTTGTATAATTTACATTATACTCAAACTGAGCTTGACTTGAGGACATGTTAGTTTGTTATGTCCCTCACCGTTGCAGTACCCACATCGTCTAATTATCTTCTCGACCTTGTTCTTCGGTACTTTTTTTCGCTTGCGTTGTTTTCGTTGAGGGTCACGAACGTTGTTTACTACAATGCTCTGGTTGACTGAATAATTCAAACCAAACGAGTTTTCTAATTCTTCTATTAGTCTTTTCATCTCATCTCTTGCGGTTTTGAAAGACTCGTCTATCTTTGATGCAATGTAGCATAACCTACTTGACGTTGAACGTAGAGTAGCGAACCGTGCCATTTGCATTACTTTTGGAGACACATTCAAGTCAACATAACTTGGTGCAGAAGCCTTCTCATCATTAGTCCACCTACTTTGAATCAAAGTCCCGGGCAAATATATGTAATCCAAGTGCTTCAAAATATGAAGTTGATGGTGACACAGAAGTCCAACGGTCTTGAATTTTTTGTAGGAGTAAATTAGGGTTTTCGTACGAGAATCAAAACTAATTTCAAATTTCCTATTTTTTTTCTTTGTACTTTGACAAAATATAATGTTGGCATTCATCTGATAAGGACTGAATCTCTGCCTCAATCCGGTACAATGTCTCCCGTAGAAGTTCATCTTGGAACGCACGAAAAGATTTACGGGTAAAAATCGTAGCAGCATGGTTTTCAAGGTCGAACAATTTTGTGATCTGGAAGGGCTTCGTATGAGAACTTAAGTAATCCGCTTTCAACTCGTTCATACGCATTCTACTAATTCCATCTTCAATTGCACGAACAACATCTAAATATGTCTTCTTGTGTTTCAGTGCAATCGCTAGTGAAGCATTCATAGACTCGCACATTTGTGTTGAGCGAATATTGGCAAAGAAATGACCGGTTCGATATGCTTGTGCCCATAAGTGTCGTGTATTTCCCTTCTCAATCACACATGGATGCTTTTCGACATTGAATTCTGAAACAACCGAACGCCATTGAATATCAATTTCCTCGGTTGTCCACCAGGAAGCCATGCATTTTGAGAATGCTGCCGTAAATTTTGGGTCACCAATGTTAGCTTGTGCATTGCGAGAAAGATGCCAATAACATAATATGTGCTTAACATAAGGGATAACAGATTTGATAGCCCTCTGCATTGCTCTATCCCCATCGGTGACAACTGAAATATGTGATTTATTCATCATGGCTTCTAAAAAATTCTGTAGTACCCACTCAAAAGATTGAGACGTCTCGTCAACGATTATGGCAGTGGCAAACACAATTGTGTTATGGTGATGATTGACACCGACAATAGGCATAATTGGTCGACCATACAAATTATCTTTGTACGTTGTGTCGAACGCAATTACATCACTGAAGCATATGTAATCCGATCTCGATGTAGAATCCGACCAAATAAGATTATATAATGCCCCTGATTCGTCTACCGAGTATGTCATAAAAAACCTGGGATCATCATGTTTCTTATAATCAAAGTAGGCAATAAGCGCATTCACATCCCCATCGACGACTTCCTTTGCTTTACCTCTTTGAAGTGCATTGTAGAGGTCTTTATGTGTAAATCTAACATTATGATAGCCCCCTGCCTGCTGCGTTAAATAGTTCATTACTTGTGACGTGCCAACACCGACCTCTTTCAATGTTGTTGCCTCATCGATATCAGCCTTACTTACAGCTCTATTAGAACGCATAAATGGTGTCATAGCAGGTGTGCACAATGCATGATTATGTTCCTGATAAGACTTACTTATAACCCACTGATCGTTTGTATTTGTTGCTGTAACTATGACTCTAGCCTTACATCCTGTTCTTGTGACTGACGTATGAGCACGTTGACGATTAACAATATTGACTTTTGATGCTCGAAACCCTTCTTTGGAACAACAAAATTCTTATGTCTTCACATTCTCTTCCACGTCAAGCCGTGTTGTTCCCTTACGTGCACTAAACCCATGTTCCCGTGCGAATCCCTTGTAAAAGTACCAAGCTTGATCACGTGAACAGAAGAGCTGACCAACCAATCTGTCAGATTCATCAACATTATGTACTTCATGACATTCCTCGGTTGGCTTAACATTGTCTACATCAGTATGATCCATGGCAAAAATTTTGTTGTGCAAGTTCAGTGAATTGATGGAGATGTAAGCAAAGGTTCATTGAACATGTTTCAGTCGTGTTGCTTTCAATAGGATGTGGTATTGGTAGTGGTAGTTAAAGGGTGGGTACAACATTAAATTTGCAATACATATTTAGGTATGTACAATAACTACCTAAATATGTGTCGATACATTTTATACAAGTATCGACCCAAAAAACATCAAAACCAATAATTATAATGTAATAGGTAAATTAACAATGTAACTGGTATAAATATATCGGTTAATTAGAAAACATGTCAACATAATGTATCGACACTTGTGTAATTTGTGTCGATACTTATTGTGCATGATGAATGCACAAACGAGGTGCACGCATAAAGTGTTAACACTTGATAAATTTGTGTCGATACTTTTGGTTCAAAATGAATACAAAAAAGGGTAAATTTTCAATGTAACCAGTATAAATATACCGGTTTTATGAGAGAATATGTCTAAATAATGTATCGACACGTTGTTAGTTTGTGTCGATACTTTTTTCCAGAATGAAATATAAATGTCCAACCAGGTGCAAGCATAAAGTGTCGATACATTTAAAATTGTATCGATCTAAAAAAATATCGTAACCGATAATAATAATTAATAGGTAAATTTGTAATGTTACCGGTATAAATATATTGGTTTACTTCGAAAATAGGTCAATACAAGCGCTACCTATTACATTATATAAGAGTTACCTAATATGTTATTGTATTTGATAATATTTCCGGTTAAATGCCTATTACATTATATAAACGCTACCTATTACATTATATAAGCGCTACCTAATATGTTATTGTATTTAATAATATTTTTAGTTAAATAATATAATATTACCGGTTAAAATTTTAACCAGTCATTTGTTTAATCAATTACGCCGTTTTTTAACCGGCGCACAGCATAACTATCCCAGCAAGAGACCTGAACCACCAATCAAACTCTTAAAAAACAGCCATAATCAGCTGGCCGAATCTGCTTATTAAGTATTTATGACCTTTTACTCGGCTTCCATTAATTTGTCAACCCACTGTTGAATCATTAAGTGTCTTTTTATTTTTAGCAAATTCTGATGCTTTTTACAAGTAGCATCCATTTCGGAAGTTCAAGGCTCTTGCTTTTCTGCAATACCCTTTGGCACTATTCACCATGTCCCTGACGCCTAGATGGAGCAGAAAGAAACCCCATTTCCCTTTGCTCGCGGTTCTTCTCTTAGTTTTCATAACTTGTTCGATCCTCTACAATGAATTCAACATTCAACAAATCCATGAAAGCCCGGATCATGGTTCTGCTCGCAGCACTCAAGGAATTTCATTTACTTATGTGAAACCAAATCTTCCCAAAGGAGCTTCAGGTGTTGTCATCCATCTTCATTCTCTACTGTTTTTTTCTCCCCTTTTCTTTGAATTTCAACCCAAAAGATTTATTTTTTAGAAAGATTTTTGGTGTGTTTGACTTACTGGGGATTTGGATATCTCTCTATTTATGTGGGGCTTTAGAGGTTTTGGATAGATTCAGCAGTTGCAACTCGACTAAGAGCTACAGTGGGAAGAAAATCCGGTGGGTGAATCCGGATGCAGAGTCGGTTCGGCGGCGGAGTACAAGGCAAGAGAGTTGTGACGTGTTCTCCGGCAAATGGGTGTTCGATAACCAATCGTATCCGCTTTACGAAGAGTCCAGCTGCCCGTATATGTCGGACCAGTTGGCATGCCATAAGCATGGAAGGTCAGATCTCCAGTATCAGCATTGGAGATGGCAGCCTCATAACTGCAATTTGAAGAGGTAAAATTCCAGTTTCGTTTATTTTTTTTCTCATAGGTTAAAAACCATGTCTTGGATTTGCTTATATGTTGCATTGTAGGTTGATTCGAATGCAGAGGCGTTGCTAATTCAAGAGTACTTATTGATATGATATGAATTTGATGTATTGGCATCACAACTAACACCATGTGAAGAATGGCATGTGATTGAATTGGGGGTTAATATTTTGGCCTTTAGATAATGGAACTTTCTGTCATTTTTACTCGTATTTGCTTACTATATTGGTTTCAAGCTTTTAATGATGGTAGCATAGTCGATAAATTCAAATACAAGGTGTTGCTAATTCAAGAGTACTTAATTGATATGGATGTGAATTTAGATGTGTTGGCATTGCAACTAATACTATGTGAAGGATGAAATGTGGTTCTTATTGTCTCTGGTGTGTAGGTGGAATTTGATCGGAATGTGGGAGAAGTTGAGAGGGAAAAGGCTAATGTTTGTCGGGGATTCACTGAACCGAGGTCAATGGATATCAATGGTGTGCTTGTTACAGTCGGTGATCCCGGCAAATAAGAAAACTATGACTCCAAATGCTCAGCTTACCATTTTCAGAGCGGAGGTAAGTCAGGAACATCCTCTAAGAGGGTTAAATAGAAAGAAAAAGAACTGCACGTAGTTATATAATGGTGATCAGTTTTTTTGTTTAAGTTCCTCTGTGCTATAGATTTTGGAAATCTGATAGTACAGTATATCATTGCTGCTCGTGTCATTTGCAGGAATACAATGCTACGGTGGAATTTTTCTGGGCTCCACTTATGGTTGAATCTAATTCTGATGACCCAGTTAATCACAGATTGGCTGAACGGATCATCCGTCCGGATTCAGTACTTAAGCATTCATCGCAGTGGGAGCATGCGGATATACTAATTTTCAACTCGTATTTGTGGTGGAGACAAGGCCCGGTGAAATTGTTGTATGTTTGTTAACTGAGGCCTGAAAGGTTCTAGTTTAGCTTTAGGAAAGATGCATATATGTTTGAAGATGTACTGAATTCCTAGTATACTTACCTACTGTTGCAGGTGGTGTTCTGAGAAAAACAGAGCCTGTGAGGAGCTCGATGGTCTAGAAGCCATGGAGTTGGCCATGAGCACTTGGGCAGACTGGGTCGCATCGAGAGTCATTCCGCTGAAGAAACGTGTCTTTTTTGTTACAATGTCACCAACCCATTTCTGGTGAGGGTCTTTACCCCCAAATTGAATTGTTCTGTTTCTCTCATCTCGATAATTCGCCCGGTGAAAGCTTGCAAACCTATCTAATTGCTGTAAATCATAATATAGAGCTATTGGCCACAGCGTGAAGTTATTTAGTATGCCTTGCTCTTCTCATTTTCAATCGAGGGCACTTTTAAGAAACTTTGGCCTATATTTGCTGACATTTTGCCATTAATCAGGAGTCAAGAGTGGGAACCTGGAAGCGAAGGAAATTGCTATAACCAAATGAGGCCCATCACTACAGAGGGATATTGGGGAAGTGGTTCCGACTTGCCGACCATGCGCATGGTGGATAAAGTGCTTTCCCATTTGGGTTCGAAGGTATCTGTTATCAATATTACTCAGCTCTCGGAATATCGAAAAGACGGTCACCCTTCTATTTATAGAAAATTTTGGGAGACACTGAGCCCCCAGCAATTGGCTAACCCTGCAAGCTACTCTGATTGCATACATTGGTGCTTACCGGGTGTGCCTGATGTGTGGAATGAATTGATATTCCACTTTTTGTAAAAGTTAGTGAACAATTGAAATTCTTTCGAGTGTCTTTACATATAGCAATGAGAGAAAAAAAGGGTTTAATTGTGAATTCCTTGCCATTTGGAACTGGAATGAGAATGACAACCCTTTGGGACTTGGATAGTTGAGTGAAATGATTGCTTATCATGAGCTATCATGAGAACTAAATTCTGTGTAAAATTTGAGGACCATAAACTATTAGGAGAGAATGATATTTGCATTATCACAACCGTGAAGAGTTAAATTGGTCAAGTTCTTTAGAGGTCTTGGTTCAAGCTCTACGTGTTAATGTAGTTGTGTTTGCAGGTGCATATTGTCAATAATTAAAAAAAACTCTGAATAGATACCATCTTTTCTATAAACATCATGTGGCTTGAGAAAGGATATAACATGGCATGTTGTTATTTCTATTTACGAAGATTATATAATCAAAATAATAAAAACAAAGTATATATATTTCTCCATAACCAACAAGGAGGAACATGAAACAAAGAAAACAGTTCTCCAAAATAATGAACCACCTAATCAGAGTATGACAAATTTTCCTATGGGAACCAAACGTCGTCCCAATTACATGTTTGATGTTCAACTATAATGCTAGGCAGCACATAAAACTCCTAAAACCCACTATCAGTAAAACAAAAATCACTGAATTTCGTGGCTTCTAGAAAGTCTGAATCAGCCTCGGGTCGCAGAAACTCCATAGTGTAATCCAAATCAAAGCTTGTCCCATCATTCCCACTTCTTTGAATGTAGCTCGTAGAAGAAGAATCAACTTTATTAGAATTATAATCTTTTTCTTCCTTGTTTAAGGCAAAAGGTTTTGCAATGGATATGGCTTCTGCTGGCAAACCATGGATACACTCCAATTTGTTTTTTAAGCTATTAATGCCATCACCAAGAGACGATGGAGTATTAAGTTGTTGCTGGCATCTCAAATCTGGGGGCTCATCATAAAGATTATCCAAACTGTTGTAGTTATAAAAATCATGAAATCCCTCTGGTTCAACCTCCACTTCTGCTATCATTTCATTTGGAGGCTTACAATACATATCTGAACCTGTATGCTCAGTCTTCAAGTTATCATCTTCACCAAAGATACAACTATAACCAGTATTGGATTCAATACTTACCGGCATCTCGACTTTAGCATCCTTCCAAGGCTCCAACTCCGAAATCGAAATGCTGGCATCTCGGTCTTCATCGTCGAGGTAACTATATCTTGAATTGAAGCCATTTGGTGTTGATATAGTATTTTGCGCTAGCTCTAGCTCTGATTCTGTTTCATTACTATTGAAGTTTGTCGGGATATAATAATCCGTACCACTGATCCTTAAGTGGCATTCCTCATCTTTAAGTTCATTGTGCAAGTAATCATTTGATTCCTTGATACCATTAGAGTTGTGGGTTCGCATAAAGTCATCCATTAATAATGCCTCAACTTCAATTCCACTCTCTTTATTCGAACTGCAACCTGTTCTGCTGGCTCTGGCTGCTGTTTCGTTGTCCTTTGCTATATATCCCACATCCTCCTCCATAGTAACTCGATAAAGATGGTGTTTCTCTGTCGAAATACCCTTAATGAATTCCTTTGATTCTTCAATAGGTTCTACTGCAGGGGACTCATAAGTAGTACTTGATTCCTTTTTAGCTCCTTCGTCATTCAAATCTGATGTTGAAGTAGACTCGATTGAACATATCTCAATGGTGGATGAAGCAGACACTTTGTTACCAACCGATTCCTTGGAATGCTCGTCGGGGAAATTGAGGCGAGCACGAGTACCATGCATAGCCTTGGCTGCTGCATCATAAGCAAGAGCTGCATCAATGGCACTAGAGAACGTTCCAAGCCAAAGCCTATTGTTGTTCCCTTTACTCGCTAGACAACCACTGTTGATTGGTTGCCGAATTTCCGCCACCCACTTCCCCCATATCCTTTGCCTTACACCTCTAAACTTGCATCTGGTATTCTCGGGCCCTCCTTTCCCTCTCATACACCCTTTCTTAGAACCTTTTGCAGGAACCTTGGGAACCCTTTCGAGGCCATCTTCTTCACCAAATCGAAGTTGGTTGTCGTTGTTGTACTTCCTCCACTTTTCAATGGTGTCCTCCACTGATTCACGTCCATTCCTTCTTGCCCGTGGCTTCTTATTTCTTCTAGCTCTAAAACTATCCTCCATATCAGAAGAACCGCGCTTTACTTCCATTTGCTAACTCGTACTTGATTCAACAAGTGAACAAAATGAGGAACGAAAGTATGTGTGTATATATACTAGGTACTAGTAATTTAATGAAGAAAAGAAAAAAAAACAATAGCAGAAAATTTAGCAACAGGCAAGAGCAGGGGTTTGGGTTTGGGTTTGTCCTGGAATCATGAGAAATGAACATGTTGACGTTGTAATCTATTTGTGGTTAGGGTTAGCTGATGATTTCTTGGAAACGAAGGAAAAAAACACCTGTAAGCAGGGTCGGGAAACACTTGGTTTTATTTATTTATTTTTAATGAACTATATAAATGATCTCTAATTAAATATAAATATTTTGTTTAATTTTTTAATTATTAAAAATTACAAAATAATTATTTATTTATAAAATATTAATTTATCGAGTCTCCAAATAATTAAAAAATATATAATAATCACATAATTATTCGTATGTTTTAAATTTATTATTTTTCATTGAAAAAAATTTAATATTATGAACTTGACATTAATATATTAACTAAGATATGATAAAATCTAATTTCATAACTGTTTAATTTGTATATTTATTTAAGATTTAAAGATTAGATTTTATTATATCATAATAAGAAAGTTAATGTATAGCTCATACAAACGTTAATTTATAATAAAAATAAAAAAAATTAAATCATATAAATAATTAGATGATCATTTTATAATTTTTAAAAATAAAAAATTTAACAATCCTAAAATGAATAAAAAAAATAGGAGGTGGCATATTGTGTACGGAATAAAAAATAGGGATAGAAGTGGTGGACAAAACCTAGCAAACGTAGGTGAGTTCCCATCCTCCATCGTTATCTTGGCGTAGAAGACGTGTGTTTTGATTAGAACTTTTGATTGTGGCGGCTACTTTTTTTATGTTGCATTTATTTTGGATACTTTGGACCGATGGGCATTACTCTTCTTTTCCTTTCCCGGGAGGTAGTCTTGCCCAAGATAACGTCATTCTCAACCAAATATATCCTTCATCTCGCACATTAATTACACAAATAATATAATAATATTTTGGCTTCAGTTGCTCCATAATTCCATTGAATTATTAGATAACCTACACTTGATTAAAATCTACGGAGAGAAGGCCTTAATATAAAATAAGTATTTAAATTAATTCTAAATATTTAATTTTTTTATTAAAAGTAGATGTTTAACTTTTTTAACGTTATATTTTTAAATATATAAATTATAACAATAGTTAAATTTAATAATTATTATTTGACACCGTAACACGTAACGAGTTTATAAAAGTTTATATTTAAGTAATGCCTACTAAATACCCCTCAATTCACAAACGATAAAAACAGTGCAGAAGCAAGAAGCTTAAAGGAGTTCTTTATGTTAAGAAATAAACTGAGTAACAAGTAATTTCTCTATAACCAGATTAGTGAGAATGTAAAATAAAAGCGGAAAAATAATACCCGAAATTGATAACGGAGTTCAGCCAATTGTGCTTACGTCTCCGGACTGCTGCAGATCTTTTACTATGAGAAAAAATTTACAGGTGTTTACAAAACACTCACTACTCACAAGAAAGCTCTCTAGTATTGGGAGAAAGAAATGATTTTTGGGATGGTTTTGAAGCTAAATGAGCTAGGGTATTTATAGTTAAAACTTAAGGACTTAATCTTGTAAATACCCTAAAACCTAGGGATTAATTGTGATTATCCCATTATCATTTTTCAACAAACATCTACCAAACTTTGAAAAACTATTTTTCAAAGAAACATTTACCAAACTTTGAAAAACTATTTTTCAAAGAAACATTTACCAAACTTTGAAAACCATTTTCAAAGAAACATTTACCAAACTTTGAAAACCATTTTTTCAAAGTTGGTTACCAAACTTGAAAACAATTTTAATACTTTCAACAATCTCCCACTTGAAGACTGATTTTAATTTGTCTTCACACCTAGATCAATGCAACATCTTTTCTAGTCTTGTTACTCTAGCATGCCAACTGAAGTTGAACACAACTTCAGTTTGTCTGTAGTCACCGTCTTTGTCAACATATCTGCCGGATTTTGAGCTCCACTGATCTTTTCAAGTTTCAAAATCTCATCTTCCAGAAGAGACCGGATAAAATGATATCGCAATTGTATGTGCTTTGTCCTGGAATGAAAAGACAGATTCTTTGCTAGATGTATAGCACTTTGACTGTCGCAATACAAGACATTGTTTTCTTGTTTCTTGCCTAACTCTTCCAAGAAACTTTGGAGCCAAACCATCTCCTTGCTAGCTTCCGTAACAGCGACATATTCTGCTTCAGTTATGGAGAGAGCAACTATCTTCTGTAGTTGAGAAACCCAACTCACTGCGGTTCCTCCTAGAGTATAGACATACCCTGTAGTGCTCATTCTGATGTCAATATTTCCGGCTAAGTCAGCATCTACATAGCCTGTCAGTATCGTATCTCCACCTTTGAAACAAAGTGCTTTGTTTATGGTACCCCGCATATATCTGAGGATCCATTTGACTGCTTCCCAGTGTACCTTGCCCGGATTATTCATGTACCTGCTAACAGCTCCCACTGCTTGAGCAATATCTGATCTGGTACAAACCATGGCATACATCAGACTTCCAATCACTGAGGCGTACGACACCTTCACCATGTGTGCACGTTCTTCCTCCGTCTTTGGTGACTGTTCTTTGGAGAGTCTGAAATGAACACCTAAAGGTGTACTTACTGGTTTAGCATCTTGCATGTTGAACCTGGAGAGTACTTTGTTGATATACTCAGCCTGTGATAATATCAAAGTCCCTGACTTTGTGTCTCTCTTGATCCTCATCCCAAGAATTTGCTTTGCAGCGCCCATATCCTTCATAGCAAACTGCTTTGACAATTTTTGCTTCAAGTTTATAATCTTTTGCATGTCTGAGCCTGCAACGAGCATGTCATCAACGTACAACAATAAAATAATGAAGCTATTTTCGAACCTCTTGATGTAGCAACAATGATCTGCTTGGCATCTGGTAAAACCACTGCTACTCATGAAACTATCGAACTTCTTGTACCACTGTCTAGGAGCTTGTTTTAAACCATACAAGCTCTTCTTCAACCTGCATACCAGGTTTTTCTTGTCTGCTTCTATGAAGCCTTCTGGCTGCCTCATATAGATTTCTTCCTCCAAATCACCATGAAGGAAAGCTGTCTTTACATCTAACTGCTCAAGATGTAAATTCTCTGCAGCTACAATTTTCAACACCAGTCTGATTGTAGACAGTTTCACGACTGGAGAGAAAATTTCATTCTAGTCAATACCTTCTTTTTGCTGAAAACCTTTGACAACCAATCTCACTTTGTAGCGTTTGCTCCCATCGTGCTCTTCTTTGATCCTGTAAATCCACTTGTTGTGAAGCGCTTTCTTGCCTGGTGGTAATTCAGCTAATTCTCACGTCTGATTTGACAAAAGCGAGTCCATCTCATCTTTCATGGAAGACTCCCACTTGACTGAATCCTCCACTTGCATTGATTCATCATAGCACTCTGGTTCACCATTGTCAGTCAGCAACAAGTAGTGCAAAGAAGGAGAATACCGTTGGGTTGGTTTAGGAATTCTGGAGGAGCGTCTCAGTTCTGGTGTGCCTGGTTCTTCCTCTTGAACTGCTTCAGGACTGATCTGAACATCATTTCCAGAAATCTCCTCGAACTCAGCAAATTCCTTTGTTTCAGCTTCGGTATTACTTGATTCTGCGGTTGACCTGTCTTTATACATCACATTTTCATTGAAAATGACGTCTCTGCTTCTAATGATCTTCCGATTTTCGTAGTCCCAAAACCGGTAACCAAACTCATCACCACCGTAACCAACAAATACGTATTTGTTGGACTTGGCATCAAGTTTACTTCTTTCAGCAGAGTTTATGTGTACATAAGAAATACAACCAAACACTCTTAAGTGTGAAAGGTTTATTTCTTTCTTACTCCAAGCTTCCTCTGGTATTCCGCCATCCAAAGGAACTGAGGGCCCACGGTTGATCATATAAGCTGCAGTGTTGATAGCTTCAACCCATAGAAATTTGGGCAATCCGGCATGTATCCTCATGCTTCTGGCATGTTCATTCAGAGTTCTGTTCATGCGCTCTGCTACGCCATTCTGCTGCGGTATGGGAACTGTTATCTCCATCTTGATCCCATTGTTTGCGCAGAAATCTCTGAATGTACTATCTCTGTACTCTCCTCCATTGTCAGACCTCAACCGCTTGACTTTTAAACCAGTCTCATTTTCCACCATGGCCTTCCATTTTCTGAAGGTATCGAAGACTTCTGATTTCTTCTTCAGAAAATAAACCCACACCTTCCTTGTTGAATCATCGATGAAGGTGACATAATGTAGTGAGCCTGCAAGAGATGGAACTGGGGATGGTCCCCATACATCAGTATAAACCAATTCTAACCTTTCTGCCTTGGGTGTCTTGCCAATCTTTGCAAAACTGACTTTCTTTTGTTTGCCAAATATGCAATCCTCGCATAGTTCGACATCTACATTCTTTAGATCCGACAGCTTCCCTTTTGACAGAAGTATCTTCATTCCTTTCTCGCTCATATGGCCAAGCCTTTGGTGCCATAGGTTTGATTTTCCATCAATATCTGCTACTGCAATGATATTCTCTAAATTTGAGGTTACATAGAGAGTACCAGTCTTCTTACCACGAGCAATTACGAGTGCTCATTTGGTAATCTTCTATTTACAACCTGAAAAGGTTGTACTGTATCATTCTCCATCAAGCTGTCCTACAGAAATCAAATTTCTTTTGAGACCAGGAATATGTCTCACTCCTGTCAGCTTCCATGTGGTCTGGTTTGGCAGCTTTAGTCGGATGTCTCCTTTTCCGACGATCTTCAAGGTTTCATCATCAGCAAGATGAACCTTCCCAAAATCACCACTAACATAGTTCTCCATGATTTCTTGGCATGGCGTGGAGTGGAAAGATGCCCCTGAATCCAAAATCCATGATTCAATCGGGCTGTTGACACTTAAAATCATAGCATCACCTGTCTCCTCCGTCATATTGGCAGATTCCT